GTGTCGCTTCTTGCTCTCTGCATGACGTTGAGGTTCACCAGCATGTGTTAGGACCCTCCTTCCTCTTAACAGCCATGTGGGTTCCATTGTATGGCCTTAGCACAACTTATCTAATCCAGTTACTAGTTTTCCTATCAGGTTTTTGGTGTTCATTTTCATTATTTGTAAGAGCTTTTTATATATGGTGGCTGGCCCTTTGTCTGCAAAGGGAGATATTTTCTCCCTTTCTTCATTAGTCTTTGGTGCTGGGGCCTGGGACTTTTCTGCTGGGCCATGTTTTAGGAAGTGAATTCACTTGTTTTTACTTTGCCTGCCTCTCTCTTGTTTTGTGCTGTAACGAGAGCATCCTTTCCCATGGGCCTGGGCAAACTCGGGCCCGCTTTTCCTTGGGACAGGTTCTCAGTGTGGAGTTGGTGACTCAGAGGCTACCACTATGTTTTGATCCAGATTCTTAAAGGGTGGCAGGGCAGAGCAGAGGGTCTCTGGGCAGACAGTCTGGCCTGGGCCCTGGGCATTTCCTTTCACCTGCCAGCGCCTCAGGGACCCTTCAGGCCCTCATCTGTGAGAGGAATGGTGTCAGCTGGGTCTTTGGGGTCACCGTGGGGTCTCCTGGGGTAACCCAAGGCTCTGCAGAGGAAACACCAGCTATTGTTATTATCCTGTGCGTAGAGGACCAAGTTGAAGCCTGCTATGCAGTAGGAGCTTAATCATTGGAGCTGCCGTTGTGGCTGCTTTCCCCTCCGCCCATGCTAGGTGATGAGGTGGGCAGAGGAGGGACCATCTGCACACAGCAGGAGCCCCATGGGATAACTGGGGGAGGATGGTGGGTAGGTGTGGGGTGGCGGGAGCCAGTGGGCAGGGCCCTGGTGACAGAGCTGCCCCCTCCACAGAGCAGCTGGCCGTCTCCAGGGCCCAGAGGGAGCAGGAGCTGGCAGCTGAAGCCTTCCAGGAGCTGGATGATGACATGGATGGGGCGTGAGTGTCTCTGAGCTGGAGCTGCCTGCCCTGCCCTGGTCCTGGGGTCCCTTCCCCCATCTCCACCTTTAGAAACCAGCCAGAGCCCCGCTGGGTCTCTCGTGGGGTCCGAGCTGATCCGGAGCCTGTGCAACCAGGCGTCGAGTGCCACTCAGGAGTACACGCTCTGCGTGAGGAGACCAGGAAACCTGCCTCCCGGGGAGCCAGCGTGGAGCCCTGGCCCAGGACTGTGGCTGGGGTCTAGGGACCAATTACCTTTCACCTAGACTCTGTGGCCTGGTCTGTTTTGGCCAAAGCCAGCTCTGGGCTGGGATCCCGGCTGTGCCCTGAACTTGCTGTGTCCCCTGGTGGAGGGTGGGCTGTCGGGGGTCATGGGGAATGATGCAGGGGTCCCTTCCGAGGGACCAGGGGGGCAGAACGAGCAGGGGCCGTTCCCTGGCTGGCGGTTGGGGGTGGGGACTGCTCCTCTCGGGGCTGTGGGGCCAGATCGGGGCTCCAACTCCCGACCTCTGCTTTGCTGGCCTGTGCCCCGCAGGGTGTCCGTGGCCGAGCTGCAGACCCACCCAGAGCTGGACACAGACGGGGACGGAGCGGTCTCTGAAGCGGAAGCCCAGGTACCCCGGCTGCCCTTGGCCTGGGGCTTCTAGGGAGCATTGCCCCACGGTGACCTCAGGGCAAGGGAAGGGACAGCGGGTCTGGGCTGCCCCGGTGGGGGGGGCACTCCCGGGGGTGCCTCCCTGGTGAGGCCGGTGCAGCCACCCAGGGCTGCTCCCCTGGCCGGGTGGGACCGAGGCTGGAGCCAAGTTAGCCCGTTTCCCACGCCTGCCCCTGCCCCCTGCCCCCTGGTCCTTCGAGGGGCCTGGCACGTCCTGTGCTGTCTCTCTCGTCCATCTGCCCCTCTCTCTGTCTCAGTTTCTGCCCCCCCAGTCTCTGCACCCTGGGCCCCCTCCCATCTCCTGTCACAGGCCTGTGCTGCCCCCTCCCGGTGTCAGCGCCTCATCACCCCCCACGAGGGCGCCGGGCCCAGCCCGCCCGTGCCTGGCACCGCAGCCCAAGTGCCCGGCAGGCCGGGGTCCTGACACCACCCCCACCGCACACAGGCCCTCCTCGGCGGGGACGCACCGACGAATGCTGCCTTCTTCCACGACCGCGTCTGGGCCAACATCAAAGACAAGTACCGGTCTGAGGTCAGCGGGGGTGGGGACGGTGACGGGGGAGGGGACACACGTGGTCCTGACCCGCCCTGCCCTGCCCCCGCCGCCTTACAAAGGAGCTGCCTCCAGTTCTGGCGCTGGGCCACCCCGGCCAGCTGGGCGCGCGGCACCCTCCGCAGAGCCTCGCCACCCGCGGGCTACGCCTCCCCAGGCCCCTCGGGAGGGGGGCGGGGACCAGGCCGAGGCGTGGGTGGGAGGGACCCCAACCCCGAACCCACAGCGTCAGCGGCTCCGCCCGCTCGCCCGCCAGGCGCTGCCTGCTGACCTGCCCGCGCCCTCTGCCCCCGACGGGACGGAGCCCAAGGAGGAGCAGCCCCCGGCGGCCTCACCCCCAGTGGAGGAGGAGGAAGAGGAGGAGGAAGCAGCTGAGGAAGAGGCTGAGGAGGAGGAGGAGGAAGATGAGTCTGAGGTGCCGGGGGAGCAGCCCAAGGTGTGTGTCTGGGGGAGGGAGGGGGTGGGGCGGGGCGGGGCTGTCTGCTGACTCCGCCCTTCCCCAGGAGGCCCCGCCCCCGCTCGCGCCGCCCCAGCCCGCCAGCCCCTCGGAGGAGGACAAGATGCCGCCCTACGACGAGGAGACGCAGGTTTTAATTGACGGTGAGTGCGGCCGGGGCCGGGAGGGCCCAGCACGTCCTGCCGCGGTGGCACTCCGTGCAGTCGGGGAGAGTTAGCGCCCTGGTCTGCCTCTGCTGTGGGCTTGGCTGGCTCTGAGCGAGCCTGGGTGTCTTGGGAGGCCTGGAGGGGGCCGGAGCAAGCCAGTCCCACCCCTGTGGGCCCTAGGGATCCTCCAACGTCCCAACGGGCTGCGGCTTGTTTGTGTCACCTGTGGTAGGCCAGGCGCCACCTGGGCCCGGGAGCCTGGGCAGCCGTTGGGGCCGCCCTGTGGCTGGCAAGGCCCCCGAGGCCTTCCCGGGCCAGTCCTTGCCCGGAGTGGGCGCAGGGCCAGGGGGAACGCAGGCGCAGTCGCGGCACCGCTTTGCCATCTTCCCCCACGGGTACTGGGACACCTCTGACCTCCACGCCCTCCCCTGTCCCACCCCAGCCGCCCAGGAGGCCCGAAACAAGTTCGAGGAGGCCGAGCGGTCCTTGAGGGACATGGAGGAATCCATCAGGTAGGGGCCGACGCACGGACGGGTCCTCTGCCCTCAGCACCTGCCGCCAGGCTCCGAGGAGCTGGGACCCGAGTCGTCCGGGCAGCCAGGGGCTGGGCGGGCCTGGCTCCCGCAGGGAGGGTCCCCAGAGGCCCTCTGCCCAGCCCTCTCGTGTCAGCTCGAGTGTCCTCGGCTGCCCCTGACCCCCTCGGCCTCCGCTTCCAGGAACCTGGAGCAGGAGATTTCCTTTGACTTTGGCCCCAACGGGGAGTTCGCCTACCTGTACAGCCAGTGCTACGAGCTCACCACCAACGAGTGCGTCCCCACCGCGGGGCGGGCGGCGGCCCTGGAGGTGGAGGGGGCTGGCGGGTTCCCGGTGGAGTGGTCGGAGGGGCAGGCCCCGGGCCAGTCGGAGTTCCAGGCGCTCCAGATGTGGCCGCATCGAGGATGCAGGGGGAGGTGTGGGGAGGAGGCTGGGGTCCTCGTGCCGCCTCCGCCACCAGCCCTGCGCCTCCCCAGATACGTCTACCGCCTCTGCCCCTTCAAGCTCGTGTCGCAGAAACCTAAACTCGGCGGCTCCGCCACCAGCCTCGGGTGAGTGGGCTTGGGCTGGGCCTCCCCCCACCCCTTCCCCGGCGCCCTGTGGATGGCACTCAGCACCCCCCTCTCCTCTCGCGCAGCACCTGGGGCTCCTGGGCCGGCCCCGACCACGACAAGTTCAGTGCCATGAAGTACGAGCAGGGCACGGGCTGCTGGCAGGGCCCCAACCGCTCCACCACCGTGAGTGCCTGCGGGCGGGGCGGGGCTGGGCAGGGCTGGGCTGGGCTGGGCTGGGGGCCCCGGGACTGGGCTGGGGGACCCAGGGCCTGCTGAGCCCGCCGAGCGCCCACCTGCCTGCCTGTCCCAGGTGCGCCTCCTGTGCGGGAAGGAGACGATGGTGACCAGCACCACGGAGCCCAGTCGCTGCGAATACCTCATGGAGCTGATGACACCAGCCGCCTGCCCAGAGCCACCGCCTGAACCTGCTGACGGGGACCATGACGAGCTCTAGCCGGCTCTAGCCGGCCAGGCGTAAGGCGGGCTGGGAGGTGGGGTTCCAGTCCGCCCCACTTTGGGTGGGCAGCGAGGTCCGAGGAGGATGGACCCACAGCACCGCCCCCCAGACACGTGTCCCCAGCTTTCTCATGGGGTCTTTCTCCCACCCTAGAACTGCAAGAAGGCATGGAGCCAGCCCTCCACAGTGCCGCCTCCTGCCCCATGTCTGTGGGGCTCCTGCCCGCCCCCCATGGGGGCAGGCCTGGGGGGCTTTGCGTCCTGCTCTGGGGGCCCAGGCAGGGCTGAGCCACGCTCCCAGGCCCCAGCACCCTCCCTGGGCCCCCACCCTCGTGACTACACCCTCCCCCCTCCCTGCTGTGGGGACAAGTGAGTGACTTGACCTGTGACCTCAAACCAATAAATGTGATCCCCCACCCAAACTCGGCTGTGTCTGCCTCACTTCGTTCGAACTTCCCTCTCCTCCGGGCCAGTGTCCCACGCTCCCCACGTGCCACCTGTGCTGTGAGGGGCCCAAGCTTCCTTCCCGGGCAGAGCCTCCCTCCAGAGGAGACCCAGGCCCAGAGAGGGACAGTGGCCTGGGTGCAGTGACGGCCAGCACAGTGGCACACACCCTGCCGCCCCCACACACACACCCGCGCCCTCGCAGCACAGATACCGCCCAGAGCCGTAAGATTCTGAACTTTTATTTTCTGGCATGAAAAGTACAAATAATTAAACAATTCCATGTAAAAGTCTGTTACCGCGGCCAGGCCTGTAATCCCGGTAATAAATAGTCTAAACGCAACGCAAAGTGTTCTTGGTGTCGGGTCGTGTGTTTCTCTTTTTTTTTTTGTCTTTTTTTTTTTTTTTTTAAACAGTTCATTATCACCTCCAACATGGACTCTGTCATGATTTGAAACCTTCCGAATAAATAACAGGATGAAGGGGAGGGCTGGAGGGGCTGTGCCCCCTCCCCACTGGCCCTGCCTCTGCCCCCCAGGGACGTGGAAGACCCGAGCCCGTCCCCTGGGAGCCCTGGCCTGGCCCCCTGGGGTGAGGGGCTGGCCTCCAGGGTGGGGGCCTGGCTGGGCTGAGTTTAGTGTTTTAGAAAAAGAAGTCCCCTCCCAGTCTTGGGGGCGGCAGGGGGCCGAGGCCTCGGTTGGGGGTGTGGGGAGGTGCCCCCTCTCTGAAGCCCAGCCCCCCAGGGTGGGGGACAAAGCCAGCCTTTATTGCTCGGACGCCTCCTGCACGCTTGGCTTGCCACGCGGCCACGCGTGTTCCCGCGTGCGGAGGGCGGAGAGGAGAGAGCCCCAAGAAACAGCAGGGGAGAGGGGTGGACCCTCGGGGGTCCCTGCCCTGCTGGAGGGGAGAGGGAAGAGGGCAGGGAGGACTTAAAACCACAAGAATAAATAGGTTCGTGTATCAAGAACAAGCTAGGGTTTTCACCAGCTAAATAGACTGAAAAAATTCTCAAGACAAGAGCAAAAGTAATCCCATTAAAGACCCCGGACGTCGCTGGCCACGGGGACTGCCCCACGGAGCACGCGCTCCCGGGTGCCACTCGGCTACCATTACTGTTATTAATAATTATTATTAACTTTAATGATTCCACTTCCCCTTTTATAAATAAATTAGGCATAACCACGTCTCGGCAAAACTTAAAGAAACAAAGAGAACACCATCGTTCCTTTAACTTGCAAACTGGATGAAGTAACAGAAATATACACAAATGTCCTTACAGGGCAACAGGAATAATAAATAGTTAACATAGCAATAAGTTAAAACTACAAGAAGCTAAATTCAGCAAAAAAGTACAAGAAAGTTAACTGGTGCCAGTTTATGTCTTTTTTTTTTCCTTTTTTTTTTTTTTAAATCTCTTCTGTGTGTGTTTTTTCCTTTTTTTTTTTGTTGCTTTTTTTTCTTCTCTTCTTTGTGTTTTTTGTCACTTTTTTGATTTTTTTTTTCTTTTTGTTCCTTGCAGCAGAAGCTCCACAGACGTTTAATAACAACACCGGGAGGGGGAGGGGAGAGAGAGCTGGACGATCAGATAGGGCCATGGCCAGACACCAAACGTGGGGACACCAGGGGGGTCGGGGGCAGGAAGGCAACTCAACTATAGCTAAAGTCGGGGGTTTGCAATTCTCAGTTCTGACTTGGGCCCGCTGAGGGGTGCAGGGAGTGGTGCAGGGGCTCCCCGGGGCTCTGGCCTGTGGCTTCTGTTGGAATTTTATTATTATTATTATTTTAAAAACAAAATCAGGGAGAAGCAAAGTCCAGACAGAAGCTGGGGCCGGAGCTCGGGATGGGGGCTGTGTCCACTGCCCTCACCTATCTGGAAAGACGAAAAAACCCAACAAACCAAAAGTGGGTAGGTAGGTGACAAGTGGTTAGGAAGGTTCATGGGGCTGGGCCCCCGAGGCCCGGCCACCCTGGGCCCGTCGGGGAGTGCTGGGTGCCGAGGGAGGCCTGGCACTAGTAGGGGAGGCTCCGCGGCCTTGGCCCAGGGAGGCTCAGCCCCGGGGGCAGGGGGGGGTCCTTTGGCCTCAAGTGTTGGTGGGGGGGCTGCCTCCAGCCCCCCGTGACGCCAAAGTGGAACGAGGTATCGTGTGTCTGGATGCATGGACGCTGTGAGTGCACGCCTGTGTTCGTGGGCGGCAGGGAGGCCCGAGGGGCCAGGAGAGAGCTCTGCAGAGACACCGGGGCAGGCGCGTCGCTTCGCGGGGACCAAGAGGGACCGGGGCGGGGTGTGGGGCGGGGCCTGCGGCCTGCGCCTGTGGGGGGGTGTGTGCGGATGTGTGTGTGTCTCTGTGACTGGGTGTTCAGATTTGATGTCCAAATATATCTGTCTCCGCTGTCACGCGCGCACGTGGACCGACCGACGGGACCCCGCGCCCACACGCGCGTGCCCGCGTGCGTCTGTGCCCGCGTCTACACTGCTGTGGCCCCAGCTCCTGCCTCCTCCCGCCTCGCCCTGTCCAGAGTCTGACTTTGGCCAATGGGTCCCTCAACGTGTCGGGGCGCCTCTGCCCGCAGGTGTCCCGCAGGGGTGAGTGTGCTGGCTCCTCTGCGTGCCCCCCAGCGTGGACGCCCAGACCCTAAGCCCCCACTCCCTGGCACCTCCCTGCCCCAGTTGGTAAACATAACCTGCCAAAATATTTTCTTTTTTTTTTTTTGTCTTTTTTTGTGTTTTTTTTTTTCAAGTTCAAGAATCCCCAGTAAAAATTCTCCACGAGGTCTTTTTCCCTTTTTACAAAAATAGAGTTTTTCTTAAGACCCCTCCCTCCCACCCCCCCTTTTTTTTTTTCATTTGTTTCTGCTTCCAGCCCCCTCCCCGGCGCCCCACGTCCACCCGGGGGAGGGGAGACCCTGGCCGGGGGTGCCCACACCGCCTCCTCACGTGTCACTTTTTTGGGGATTTTTAAACCTGTTCCCTCTCCCCAAGCCCACCTTGGGTGTCGGGGAGGCCTGGGCAAGGGGGCCTGGGAGGGCACCTCCAGCGGCCCCCAGGCCACCCACGGAGGGTGGCCGGGGCTGGGTGGGGGCACACCGCTGCGTTCTTTTTAGCCAAAAAAAGAAACAAAAACCTTCGCCATGAACCAAACCAAGATGAGAGAGTGACCAGCGCAGCCCGGGGGTGGGGCGGGGGACGGGGCAGGGGACCCCCGGGCACCCCCCGCCCCGGCACCCCCGCCCCCCCAGAGTGCTGTGCTCACCCTGTGGCTTCGCAGGGATGCGGGTCCCTCACGTCGTCCGTGGGTCTGCCTGGCTGTCTCTCGGGCCCTGTCTGTCTGTCTGTCTGTCTCTCTCTCTGCTGCCCGGGGAGGGTGGGAGGACGGCGGGGGCGGCTCAGGCCTTGTGCTGCTTGCTGGTCTTGAAGGACACCTGCAGCACGCGCTCGCCCAGGCGGTAGCCGTTGAGGCTGGCGATGGCCATGGCCGCCTCGTCGTAGTTGGTCATGGTGACGAAGCCGAAGCCCTTGCACTTGTTGGTGGTGAAGTCGCGGATGACCTTGACGTTGGTGACCGCCCCGAAGGGCCCGAACAGCTGCCACAGCACGCTCTCGTCCGCCTCGGGCGACAGGTTGTACACGAAGATGCACCAGCCGGCGCCCGCCGCGCCCCCCGACAGGCCCACGCCCGCGAGGCCGCTCATGCCGTCGATGGCGATGGGCGAGAACCTGGCGATGAGCGAGAGGGGACTACTTTGGGGGTCACGCGGGCTCTGCCCTGACCCCCCGCAGGCCTCCGACCCCACCGGAAACCCCAACTCTCACCCACTGGCCTGTAACCCTGTCCTGACCCCCGACCTCCACCCTGACCCTGTGACCTTTAACCCTGTTGGTCCCGACCCTCCACACCCCCGTGGCTGCCACCTGTACGCGGCAGGAGGCCCGTGCTGGTGGGAAGTCCCGTGCATTCAGGCCTCGGCACAGCTGTCACCTCCCGGGGCAGCCTCTGACTGCGCCGAGTGACCCCTCGGTCCCCCTGCCCCTCCCGCCTTTTCCCGTCCGGATCACATCTCTGTTCCTGGCCCCATCCTCCCTGCCAGGGCCCCGTCCTCCCTGCAAGGCAGCACCTGGGAGGTGTTTGTTGAGTGAATAATAAAACACTCCAGAAGTATCCATTGAATGAATTAACGAAAGGGCAGAATCGTCTTTCCACATGCCCTGCATTCCTCACCGGCTACCGGGCCCCCCGAATGAACCCCGCTACTAGAGGGGAGGACCCCGAGGCCTGGGGCATTTGACCTGGACTGCGCTGTCCCTCCTCCGTGCCCTTGCACGGGCTGTCCCCACTGCCAGGGGCTCCCTTTCCACCCGGCCCCTTGTCTCGGCACCTCTGCACTGACGTCGCCTCAGATGGGTCAGTGGGGGCGGAGGGGGGACCCTGCTGGGTCCCCATCACCCCTTCTCCCTGCCCCCTGCGCGGCCTTTACCACTGCTCGCCCACCTGCCCCTCCCCCGCTGGGCTGCGCTCAGGAACCACAGTGACGGCATCGTGACACGGGCTGCTGTTTATGGAGCGCTCCCTGGGTGCCAGGCACCGTGCGTCCAGCCACGTCCCCGAGGGCCCGAGTCTGCCCGGGCCACGCTGGGTCCCCGGCCCCCAGCCAGGCGCCTGCCGGCGCTCGGCACGCTCCACAGCTTGTCACGCCATAGACACGGGGCCTTTGCAAGGTCAGGGACCTGGCCGGGGCTATGCCGCCCGGCCTCCAAGTCTGTCCCCGACTTCAGGGCAGAAGGGGTGATTTTGTGACCCCCCCCCCCGCAAGGATGGTTAGCAGGGGCCGGCGGGGCAGGGGGACCAGACACTTAACGTGGGAACCACGGGGCACGACTGTGTCCCCGCAACTCTGTGGCAGCTGCTGTTCCCCCCGAGCCCCAAAGGAGCCATCGTACAGGGCCGAGAGGACCCGAGAGGTAGAGCCCCTGGGGACACCTGCCGTCCCATTTCTCAACAGCCGTGCCCCTCCCGGGTGGACACGCCAAGCCCGCAGTCCTGCGGTGTCAGAAACAGGGCTGGTGGCGGGTAGGGACAGTGGGCTGGGGGCATTGTTACCTCTTGACTCCGTAGGCCATGTTGAGCAAGTTGTCCAGCCTGCGGGGGCAGAAGCTGCGGTCAGAGGTGGCCTCGGGACACGCCCCCGGCTGTGATGACGCCACCGGCCAGTGGCCTGCCCTCCCCGCCCCCACCCGGCGGGCCGGCAGCAGAGCCCTGCCCCCGCCGCCCGCCCGCCGCCCGCCCGGCTGGACACCGCCTGGCACGGAACCGCGGTCACTCGGGCACCGCCTCTCGCCCGCCCTGCCGTCCTCGTCCCCACCCTCCCAGCCGCCGCACGCCGTCGGGGCCGGGGCTGGCGTCTCTGGGGAAGGGTAACTTCCAACAAAGGCGACAGTAACAAGCCCAGCCGACTCTGAGTGCTTGGGTGGCAGGGGTGGGGGAAGTGACTCGCCACGGCCACCCAGGGCCCACAGGCGGCTTGCACTGTCCCCACGTTGGGTGGCTCAGAGTTCTGGCTCCCTGGGGATCCCGGGTTCGAGTCTCTGCGCTGCTGTTTGGGTGGGGCAAGCCACAACGCCGCCCCCGTGCCCCAGGGTCCCCGTCCGCAAAATGGGGACAATACAAGCTTCGCTCTCGTCCCGTTGTGTTGCAGAATAAAAGCGTCCAGCGGGCAGCGGGCACTTGAGAAATGTTTGGCGTTGTTATTATTACAGACCCGGGGCCAGGCGCGGTGGCTGCCACCTGTCATCCCAGCGCTTTGGGAGGCCGAGGCGGGAGGATCGCTTGAGGCCAGGAGTCCGAGACCAGCCTGGGCACCACAGCAAGACCCCCGTCTCTATAAGAAATAAGCTGGACCCTGATCCTGTAGGCTCCGAAACCCTTAAGGCCAATAATGCCAATCACAGTGGCGAGCACACATTGAGTGCCTGCTGTATACAGGGCCTGGCCTTGATGCACCTCTTTGCTGCTCTCAGCAGCCCGGGCTGTGGCCACTGCCGGTGTCCCTCGCTCTGCAGTGGGCTTGGGGGGCCGGGGGGCCGTTGCAAGCCTGGGGCTCCCGGCCTGGGGCCTAGCGTGTGCGGGTGGGTGCGGGGCTCACCGGAAGCGCTGCGTCTGGTGGTGCAGGGGCCCCGCGTAGCGCCGGGCGGACGACTGGTAGAGGTGGGTGAGCAGCGCCTGCCCGGTCTTCTGGCTCGGGTTGTTGGCGAACTTGACCGTGATGGGCTCGGCTGCGCCCAGCGGCTTCTGCCCGTTCAGTCCCTTGATGGCCTCCTCGGCCTCGATCCTCTTGTCAAAGCGGATGAAGCCCACACCCCGAGAGACACCTGCCAGGGGGCAGAGGGTGTCCTGTCACCTCCCTCGTGCCCGTGCCTCCCCCCCCCCGCTGTCCCGGCACACGCGTGTCCCCCCGTGTCCCCCTCGCTGCCTGTGCCCAGCGCCGCCCCGGCAGCCCCACCTGTGACCTGGTCCACCAGGATGCGGGAGGTGATGATGCGGCCGTACTGCGAGAACAGCTGCTCCATCTCCTTCTGGCTCATGGTCTTCGGCAGCCCGCTGACGTACAGGTTGGCGTCCCGGATGGACGCCGAGCTGGGTCTGGCGTAGGACACCTGGGCGCCGGGCGGTGAGCGAGACCCACGTCACAGAGGCCCAAGATGCCTCATCACCCATTCGCTCAGTAGACACCTCCCGCCTCGTCGCCACGCGGGGCGGGGCGCATGCCAGAGGGGACAAGACAGTGGCTGTGACAACGTGTTCCTGCCCGCATTGAGTGATAAGGAGGGGGACCTGTCCCCCGAGGTCACAAGTCTCCCTGGGGACCCTCAAATTCTTCTCTTGCTCACTCCCTCATGCTTTCTTTCTTTTTTTTTTTTTTTTTCTCAGAGATGAGGTCTCGCTGTGTCACCCAGGCCGGAGTGCAGAGGCACGACCATAACTCACTCCAGCCTCAAACTCCTGGCCTCAAGCGAGCCTCCTGCCTCAGCCTCTCCCCGAGTGGCTGGGACTAGAGGCGCACGCCATCATGACTGGGTAACTTTTTTTTTATTTTTATGGAAATGGGGTCTGGCTATGTTGCGCAGGCTGGTCTCGAACTCCTGGCCTCCAGCGACCCTCCCGCCTCAGCCTCTCAAAGCGCTGGGATCACAGGAGTGAGCAACTCTGCCTGGCCTCACCCTTATGTTTGGTAAGTCCATCAGCAAACATCGATTCTTCCCACTCCTTTGGAGGGTGGGCCTGGGACACCGGCCCCTCTCTTCTAGAACACTACACTGGGCGCCCGCCGCCCCCCGCCGGGGACTCAGGTCTTTAGCCACCAGCTCCATGATGGCAGCTCGCAGATCTGCACACCCGGGCGGCCCCTGCCTCCATGTCCCTGTGTGAGGGTGTCGCGGGCACTTCACTCTCAACATGGCCACATCCAGCTCCCAACGCCTCAAACCCGCCCTGGCTCAGTGGCAGCTGCCTGTCCTCCTGCGTACTCACGTCCCCAGGTCTGGGTTGTCCTCGGAACCCCCTTCTTCCCGCTCACACCCAATCCACTATACATCCCACGGCTCCACTTTCCTCCTTATTCAAGATCCACACACTTGTCCCTACTTCCGGCCAGCGGCCGCCATTGATCACCTGGACAGGTGCGGCAGCCTTGGCCCTGCCCACTCTTCAGTCTGTTCCCCCCGCAGCAGCCAGAGGGCGCCTGTGAGTGCCGAAGTCAAGGTCATGTCCCTCCTCTGCCCAGAATCCTCCGTGGCTCCCACCTTCCTCAGCGCTAACTAAGGCCAAAGTCCTTCCCTCGGCTCACAAAGCCCTACACACTCTTCCCCATCTCCTCCCTGCCCTCACCTTCACCCCTGCGCACCTCCAATGGCTCTGCCCCAGCCACAGGGGGCCTCCTCCAGGTCCCCAACCCCACCAGCCATGTGCCAGCTCCAGGGGCTTTGCATCTGCTGTTCCCTCCGCCTGGAACTTCCCTCCTCCTCTCTCTTCTCCAAGGTCTCAGTTGAAATGTCCTCTCCCATCTGAGTTTGGGCCCCCCTCACCTCCACCCCTACTCCTTTTTCTCAAAGCACCTCCTCAGTTGGGAATTAGACACGTTTGAATTCAGTCCTTCAATCCATGTTATTGCTTATGGTCCAACCCAACAACGAAACTGTCTCTGCAGTTGTTTAAAAAAATGGTGGACGTCGGCCGGGCGCGGTGGCTCACGCCTGTAATCCCAGCACTCTGGGAGGCCGAGGCGGGCGGATTGCTCGAGGTCAGGAGTTCGAAACCAGCCTGAGAAAGAGTGAGACCCCGTCTCTACCAAAAATAGAAAAAATTAATTGCCAACTAAAATATACTAGTACAAAAATTAGCCTGGCATGGTGGTGCCATGCTGTAGTCCCAGCTACTCGGGAGGCTGAGGCAGGAGGATCGCTTGAGCCCAGGAGATTGAAGGTTGCTGTGAGCTAGGCTGACGCCACGGCACTCACTCTAGCCTGGGCAAGAAAGCGAGACTCTGTCTCAAAAAATAAATAAATAAATAAATAAATAAATAAATAAATAAAATGGTGGGCGTTGCATGGAATTGGCTAAGCTCAAAAAAAAAAAAATGTGGACGTGTATATTTCTCTCCTGGAAACAGTGGTGGGCATTGTAAAGCGGGGTGCAGAAAATTCCATTTACAAAGCGGTGAGGATCACGCGACCTCATCTCACTGTGTGTTAGGCAGTGTCGTGGAAATGTGGCGTGGAGACCCACCCTGCCAAATGCTGGTGGGTGACCTGTCACTGGGGGCAGAGAGGGGCATGGACGACCCTCCTCCATATTTCTTTTATTGTATTATTTTTTTTGAGATAGAGTCTCGCTTGTTGCCCAGGATAGAGTGAGAGCCGTGGCATCAGCCTAGCTCACAGCAACCTCCAACTCCTGGGCTCAAGCGATCCTCCTGCCTCAGCCTCCCGAGTAGCTGGGACTACAGGCATGCGCCACCATGCCTGGCTAATTTTTTCTATATATTTTTAGTTGACCAATTAATTTCTTCCTATTTTTAGTAGAGACGGGGTCTCGTTCTTGCTCAGGCTAGCTTCCAACTCCTGACCTCGAGCAATCCGCCCGCCTCGGCCTCCCAGAGTGCTAGGATTACAGGCGTGAGCCACCGCGCCCGGCCTACCTCTTCCTTATTTCTACGATGCTGATTTTCTATCTCTTCTAAATTAACCGCTGGGTAGACAGAGGTCATTGTCAAAGGCCTGGCTTTTGAGTGGGACGGTGAGCTGCGAGGGTGTATTCCTTCATTAGAAATAACTAATTAAAAAGGAAACTAAAGAAAGCAGGTGGGGGTGAATTCGGGGTGCTTGTGGGCAGCGGTGTCTAATTCCGACTAATGCAATTGTGCACACCAGGAGATAAAAGACAAACACATCCGCCTCTGTTATTTCTCTAATAGTCGTTTTAAAAATCATGGCCACGTATTTGATGGTTTTCTCTCTCCCATGGAGCCGGGAACTGTGAGCACTTGCTGATGGATCAAATTTGGGGGCGGGTTTTGGGGAACTGGGTGGGTTTTGGGGTTTAAGGGTCTGGAATCATCTGAGGCACAGAGTAGATTTTTGTTCTGTTTTGGTTTTTGAGTCACTCTTGCTCTGTCACCCAGGCTGGAGTGCAGGGGTGCAATCATAGCTCACTGCAGCCTCCAACTCCTGGGCTCAAGCGATCCTCCTGCCTCAGCCTCCCAAGCAGCTGGGACTACAGGCATGGGCCATGATGTCCAGCTAATTTTTTTTTTTTTTAGAGATGGGGTCTTGCTATGTTGCCCAGGCTGGTCTCAAATTCCTGGCCTCAAACGATCCTCCCAACGTGCTGGGATGCTGGGTGGGGACCCCCATGGCCAGCCTCAGAGCAAGTTTTCTCGGGTCTTTCACATCCCTTCGTGACATGGGTTCCCCAAGGGCAGGGACAGGTCAAGTTCCTCCTGCCTCCCCACGCTGGGATGGGGCCCGGAACACAGGAAGCGGCTGGAAATATTTCGGTCAGAATATTTTGTCAGAGCACCGGGTGGGGAGTGACTCTCGGGATGCGTCTCGGAACCACACGCCCGTCACAGCACCGCAGGGCCACACAATGCCACACACCTGCCACCCGAACGGGGCACTCGTGGCCACACCCACACAACATCAGCGAGACACACAAACACCCCGTCAGAGCCAGACACCCCGTCCCAGGCCCCACCGGGTCACAGCTGGAGTCCCAATGTGTCACAAAGCACCTGCCAAATAAAGACCACGTCCTACAGACACGGGGACACACCCGAAGTCTTAAATAGCCAGAATCACTCAAGGACAGCCACTCTGTGGACACTGTGTCCCACAACAACTGGGTCCCAGCCACAGCCATAATGAGTGAGTCACAAGATACCTGGACCATAAACACCGCATGTCACAGTTCAGGGCGACAAACAGACACACACACACACACACTGCATCTCACCCTCACACCTGGGGTTTCTGGGTCTAGTTGGCCGTGGAGAGACCCATCGGGTCATGACCTCGTCTCTCCCCCCACCTCCAGCCCCCCATCACGGGCAGGAAGAGATTCCTGCACCTCCAGCCCCACCTAGAACTGGGGCCCAGATGGGCGCCCCACACCCCAGCCTCCCCCAGGGTCCAGGAGCAGATTTGCAGGGCGGAGCCCAAACACCCCCAGGCGAACCCAGAGAGGGGGGTTTCCATGGCGATCGCCCCCCAGGGGACCCGGGCTGGCAAGGTCCCAGCTGCAGCTGCTGAGACGGGAGGTCAGGGGGGAGGGGCCGCCCCTAATCCCGCCCTCCCAGACCCTAATTAGGTTCCAGATGGCAGATGGACCCCCACCCCCATTTCCATGACAAAGGCAGGGATGGGGGGGTGGCTCACAGGACCCTGGTCACTGCAGCCCGCCCCCAAGCCCTGGCTGAATCCCTGAGCCTCCAGAGAAGGTGGCTTATGTATTGTCACCGTTGCCAGTTGAGGAAACTGAGGTTCAGAGAGGCAAAGCCATTGGCACCCCCTCCCTACCTGGTGGCCCAGCTGGGCTCCCGATGAGGGGGGTGGGGGAACGGATATAGGAGTGGCAGTAGAGGGCTGGGGACAGTCGGGGTGCACAGTCACAGTGGGGGGGACTGAGGAATGAGGCACCAACCTTAATGGTCTTCGTCTGCAATTTGAGGCCATTGAGGGTGTTGATGGCTTTGTCTGCGTCGTTGGGGTCAGAATAGTTCACAAACCCGTAGCCAAGGCTCTGCCCTGTGGGCACGACGAGGATGAGGACTCGCCAGTGTCCCCCTGACCCCAGGCCTGAGAGCCTGACCCCTCCCCACCAAGATCCACCCTCCTGTCTCCCTGCGACACCCGTCCCCCATCACTCCCAGGGTCAAACCTCAGACCCCTGGGCCACCTCTTGCCCCCCAGATCCCTGGGACGCGCTACCCAGGGTCACACCTGCCCTCGTCACACCTGTACTCCCTCCCCTCCAGCCCCCTCCAGCAGCCACACCTGTGATCTTGTCCCGAACCAACTTGCAGGACTCGATGTCACCAATGCTGCCGAAGAGACTCTTGAACTCATCCTGGGTCATGTTCTGGGGCAGGTAGTTGACGATGAGGTTGGTCTTGCTGTCATCAGTGGCTCCGTTTGTACCAAGGAGTGGCCCGTTGGGCAGGGCCGGGCCGGCCGGGCCCCCCCCCACCTGAGACTCCATGGCCCCCAGTATCTGCTGGAGACAACAGGTCGCGCCCGCTCACCGCCCAGTCCCCACGCCAGGGACCTGCGGGGACGAGGAGTGGCCCGCTGGTGACGGATCAGCCCCGTCTGATATGGGCTTTGTCACGGGGAGTGGGGAGTGGAGGAGGGGACTCCTTATTACTGCGGAAATCCCTTGCATTGACCAGAAAAAGTACTGGGGGAAAAAAAGCACCTGATGTGATTTTAACACGAGAAATTCCATCTACAAACACCATATACACAAACAAAGGTCTAAAATCAATCTACGCATTTTCAGATTAACAGAAAGGAACGCTTTTGTCTTCAGAAGAAGAAATCTAACACTTTTAGTAGCTTTGAAGCCCCCATATGCCCTTCCCTAAGCTTATTTCTTTCCTCCCACCAAACATAATTCCTATCTCAAATGTGTTAATATTTCTTTTGCTTCATACATAATTTTCCTACTAGATATTTACCCTCATAGTTTTCCCATTGAGCTATTTTGTTTCATTTTTTTAACATGAAACATTGGCATATAATGACAATTTTATTTTCTCCTGTTATTTATTTTTCTTGTCTTATTGCAGGGGCTACAATGTGATAGTGGCTTCCTCATTCTTGATGGTAAATGACATGATTTAAACATTTCACACCTAAACATGATCTTTACTATGGGTTTTTCTAGATGGCCTTAATCAGGTTAAGAACATTTTCTTTTATTGCTAGTACCCTAACAAGATTAAAAAAAAAAAAAAAAGATTAGATGTTGAATTTTATTAAAAATTTTCTACATCTACGGAAATGATTTCTTAGCTTTAATATAGTAATGTCATGAATTATATTAATTGATTTTCCAACATTCCATCAACTTTCCTGGGATATTGTAGTTTTGTTTATGTACATTGCTTGATTTAATTTGCTGAGTTTTTTGGTGGTTCTTTGTTTAGTATTTTTTTTTTTTTTTTGAGACAGAGTCTTGCTTTGTTGCCCAGGTTAGAGTGAGTGTCGTGGCATCAGCCCAGCTCACAGCAACCTCAAACTCCTGGGCTCAAGCGATCCTGCTGTCTCAGCCTCCCGAGTAGCTGGGACTACAGGCATGCGCCACCATGCCCGGCTAATTTTTTCTATACATATTAGTTGGCCAATTAATTTCTTTCTATTTATAGTAGAGACGGGGTCTCGCTCTTGCTCAGGCTGGTTTCGAACTCCTGACCTCAAGCAATCTGCCCGCCTCGGCCTCCCAGAGTGCTAGGATTACAGGTGTGAACCACCACGCCTGGCCTGTTTAGTATTTTTAATGTCTATGTTCAGGAAGAGATGCTGTTTTTAATCTAATTCACACAAGGACTATAAAAGGTAGAAGTTAATTTTGCTATGATGGATGAGGAATCTGAGGCTCAGAGATGTTAAGAAACTTGCTAAAGTCACGCAGCATATCAGTTATGGCACTGGAACTCAAATGCAGCCATCTCCAGACCTATGATTTTCTGACTATGACAGTCAACCAGGCTGCTACTGGCTCTGACTGAGGACTCACTATGTGTCCTTGGCTATTCCCCTTGGGACCTTCCTTTCACTTTGCTGCAAACACAAAACAACTGGTAATGGCTATCAGCAGGGCTCCATAGAGGAGAACTTTAAAGCTGGAACCAGTGCTGGGATTGATTGGCATTGCCTGTCCTGGGCTTCGGAAGGTCAAGTAGCCAGCATTTCCTTACATCTTCTATAGCATGGTTGGCAAACAGGCTGACCTCACTCAAAAACCCAAATCGAGTGGTAGAGTTTTCCCAGAGGGGTGAATTAAGAAGGATGCAGAAGCCACATCTAGTTTCAGCAGGAAAGACTACTGTGATTGATTAGCCATGTCTGCTGGGGCCACAGAATTAGAAACAGCCAGCGCGAACCCACCATCTCGCCCATCCCTGACTCAAGATCCAACAGCACAACTGTTCCCAGCTACTGGGCACTAGTGTGTGCCAGCCACTGGGCAAAGCACTCTACGTGCAAATTTTCTTTTCTCATTCACAACCCTTTAAAAAAGGAGTTTCCCTCCCCCACCCCACCCCCGCTTAATACACGAGGAAACTGAGGTTTAAGGGGTATTGTAAAAATTGCCAAAGACCATGCATCAGATAAGTGGCGGAACAGGGGTTTGCACACAAGTTTTTCTGCCCCAGAGTCTGTATTTCCTACTTCCACTGCCAGCCAAGACTGATGCCAGCTGTAACATTTCCCAGCTGTGTGTCCTCAGATAGATCACTTAGTGCTTCTGGGCCTCTGCTCCACTTTGCTGTAAGCTCCAACTTACAGGCACAGTGGCCAGGGGAAGGATCGATAAAGCACGAGCAGGTGTCACTGGAAAGCACTCTGGGATAGATTAGCCATGTCTGCCATGGGCACGGCCACAGGAGGCTGGGGTAGGCTTGTCGCACTCACCATCCCTGCCTCGTAATACTGCTATTCATAATCGTTCCATGACACTGAGAATGTTTCGTGTGCCAGGCACTGTGACAAGCACTTCAGGGCATCATTTCACTTATTATTCTCCCAACAATCTTGAAAAACAGAGAACACACTCTCCATTTTACAGGTGAGGAAACTGACCTCCAGAGACACTGGGTGATATGAATGGGGACCTTGATTTCAAACCCGGACCTGTTTGACGACAGAGCCATTTTCATCGCTATGGCCAAGGCACTGGGGTGGCCCTGCCCCTCACAGCCGTGTGTCCCCAGGATCGATCTCTGGTCTTCCTTGGGTCTATGTTTCCTTCCCACTTACTCTTATAAAAAGAATGGCGGGGACTGTCAACTCTCCTGCGTCTCCAATCAGCTGAGAGTGGCTGGCTGGGGGGCCGCCTGGTGGAGGACTCTGAAGTCACATCACCAGGCTCACGAGGAACGCGCGCTGGGTTGATTAGCAATGTCTGCCACAGGCGCCCGCAGTGAGGCAGCGGGACTCACGCCACTGAGCTGCATTCTGGTCTCCTGACACAACACTTTACTACTGGCACGGTCGCCTATGGAGGGCTATGAGTTTGCAGTGTCCCAGACAAAATCCCTTATGGGAAACTTCCAGATGAGTCTTCCCATGTCGAACATAAGAACCTCCACCAAATGCATGAGGAAATGGAGTTTCTTTCTTTCTTTTTTTTTTTTTTTCTCCTTGCTTGGGTGAGGCAAAGAAGGAAATGGAGTTTCCATGAAGGACCTGCAGAGTTCAACGGGGACTTGCACAAGGCTGACACAAATGGTGGATGGAGAATTCAAATCCAGGTGCCCACTCTCCTAACCAAAAGGCCAATCATATAAAAAAATAGTAACAGAAAAGCCACCCTGTGCCTACTCCAGGCTGTGCCCTGGGCTTCACGACACTGAAACCGACGGCCGGTTGAGTCTATTCATTCAATTCAACAAATATTTACCGAGAGCTACCACACGCCAGCAGCTGACACCGCCCTCCTCACTGTTGTCCTCTGATAGTCATGTCACCTCTTGGGCCTGTGTCCCTCTGTCCCTCCAACGAAGGTACGGCACAGAGGTCTCCCAGGTACAGAGATGGATTCTCAATTCCCATCCAGGCTTAGCGACATAGGCTTCTGCGATGGGTCGCTGCTATTGGCCATGGGAGCCCAAATAAGCAGCCAATAGCACACGAGTCCCTGCTCCCGGACATGCTAGAGCCCAGGTTCTGAACCCCCACTGAGCATGTGCAAAACTTTTCCTTGACTTCCCACGACCACACCGGAAGGTGGACACGGTGTGCTCCATTTCTCAGCTGGAGAAACTGAGGGTCAGAGGGACTTGCCTAAGGTGACGGGAGGAGGTGGAAGGGATGGGGGCAGCATTTGACCCCTGATCTGATGACCCCAGAACCCAGAGTTACCAGCTGCCCCTGCCCCAATGCCGTCCCCAACCTGGATGGAGTGGAGAGGTGACTGGGTGGGTCAGAGCCAGGTTCCTGAGGCCCAGCCAACTAATCTCGCCACCACCCCGTCTCCCTCCCATCTGTGCCCAGGCTTAGCGGGACCGATGTCGCCTTTCCTCTGAGCCGGCTGAGCTGATAATGGGATCAGATTGGAGAAGGCCACACCCGCCCTGCAGTGAGTGTGTGGCCTGGGATGGTGGCAACGTGGGCATCAAAGGAGGTGGCAACGTCAGAGAAGGGGGGAGGAGGGCAGGGATCTTCCTTCCTATTCTCTGGTCCTTTTGGGTCTCTCTGAGCCTCCCCCTCCTTCAGTTTCCTCTCCCTCTCTCGCCTTCTGTCTCTCTCCTCCCCTGCTCCTCCTCGCAGCAGCTCCGTCTCCTTCCCCTCCCAGCGCTCTCGCCAACTCTTTTCCACCATTGCACACACATCTGACGTGTGCACTCTGCAGTGGGCACACCTGAGGCCACTTGCTTCCTCACCCCTCCCACATCTGACCCCCCTGGCTCCCGGCGGCGCCCCCTGGCCCCAGTCGCAGTGACAGATGCCTGGATACCCGCGACAATAGGGCATTGAGTGGCTGTGCATGGTAAGGCTGGCCCACCACGTGGTGCTGACTGGGCCTCCTACTTCTGGGGCCTTCTTCCTCCACGCAGGGCCCTCGCGGTCTCCATCCATGCCCTCACTTCCTCCCAGCCCGTCCCCAAGCTAGGTCTCTGCTTGAGTGTCCCCGCGTAGGAGAACCCAGGCCCCCAAGGGCTTTGGGGTCCTTGCATGACCTCTGGCCACACCCTCTTCGCCTTTGTGCATTAGTTCCCATTTTCAAATGGGAGGGGGCACTCATCAGGGGACGCCTAGGAGATGCAGGACTGTCGCGGGAGGTCAGGGGTCCTCAGGAGGCCACCTCCGGTTCCCAGACCTGGGTGACCAGCATGACGCTCAGAGAGGGGAAGGAGCCGGCCTGAGGTCACACAGCAGGTGAGCCTGGCCTAGCCTCTGGGGCCTCGGCGCTCAGAGCCGGGTGGGCGGGTCCCAGGGTCCAGGAGGGGAGTGAGAGCTGAGCACGCCCCCACCCACTGCGCTGGCCACGACTCGAGAGAGAGGCCCGGGGAGAGACACAGCGCACAGAGACACGCACGCAGAGACCGGGAGACAGGAAGAGCGGAGGACGGAGGCCCAGGCGCCGGGACCAGACAAAGGACGCGCGGCGGCGCGGGGAGCGGAGTCGCGCGGCAGGGGCGGGGTGGAGCAGGGGTGGGGCTATAACTGCCAGCCCCGCCCGGGATACGCCCGGGCTGCCGAGTGAAATCCGAGGGCTCGGGCGAGCCGGGCCCCGGGCCTGGGGCGGGCTAGATGGGCGTGCCGGGCGTGGCCAGACAGGGCGTGGCGGCGGGAGGGGCGCGCTCGGGAGCTGACCAGCTCCGCGGCTGCTGAAAGCACCGGGAGCCGGCGAGTGCGCGGGCTGGCGGGCCGTCAAGGTCACCCCGCGG